ATAATATAATAATATCTGGTATTTGGTATCTACTTGTATAGATTTTTCCAAGATGGACAGTTGTCTTATCCCCAGATTATAAGAAATCTAGTGTTGTGCTAATTAATTGGTTAACTAACACTGATCCTCAGTTTTGCTACTGGCCACCTGAACATGTAGACAGTGATGTTTTACAAATGGAAGAGGAGCCCGACTACACTTGGGCAAAGTATAAAGTTAAAGTTCTTGGTGAGAACAAAACTTATGGTAAGAACTTTTGAAAACTAATTTAATACTTAATTAGTTAGTATTTATTTGTAAACAATTGTAAAATTCAACTCATAAAAAAATTATTTGATTTTTTTCACAGATAATTTTAGAAAAGCATGGCATCAACAAGTTGAAATTGAAAAAATATGCTCTACAGAGACAGGAGTTGAAGAATATGAGACTTAAAATCCTAAAAGAATTAAAAAGGTGTCTGTTTTAAAAAAAGTCTTTATTTGATATGTCTGATCATCAGACAACGAATAATTTTAATGAAAAAAATTTTTTTTTTTTTGGGGGGGGGCTTAAGCCCCAAATTCCCCCCCCCCCCCCCCCCCCCTTGGGTGCGCCACTGGTCTGATGAAAACAATAATTCTGGTGATACTTGTTTACATTTTCATTTCTTTTATCTGTAAATGTTAATTACTTTAATTTAAGTAATTTTATTTAGGTACATATATCTCACCAATACCATCTTTGGAGCTCATCCATTCTACTGACTATACGTTAAACTTTGTGAAACGTAATAAGTTTATACACATTGGAATCGATCTGACTGATATGTTTAGAGTATAGCAGTGCATATAATAATTCCATCATGTTATATAAATATTTCAACTGACTTTTTAAACACAATGTTTTCACTGATTAGAAATATTCTATAATTTATTTTAGAGCAATTAGGAAAATATAAAAGAGCCATTTCTTGAGACTGATAATTTCAAATTATCTAGCATGATGTATAGTGGTAAAAACATTTTAGTAATATAGTTTAAAACACATGATGAATGTTGTATTATTTTAAATTGTATGGAACTCATACGACTTCAATATTTAGAACAGTGCATTTTCGAGATAATTATACGAAAATCAACTATTAGGTATGCAACCGATCATCTTAAAACAATTTAATATATTTACCGAGTATATTAATAAAGAACTTGAAAATGTGAAATCAACACCAAGAACGAATAAAAAAATTACTACATTTATTAAAAATATACATGATAATCATATTTTTGAAAACAGTCCTGGACATGAAATTGATTTCATCATCAACTCAAAATCCATGCATTAACTCAATTAGCAAAACATACAATACAACGGTGGAGTAGAAAAATATCGCCATAGGTAATACAAAAATATATTTATATCATTTACAAAAATAATTAATAAATCTATTATTTTAATTATTTGATGGGAATGCGACAATAATTTCGCCAACATCACCATAGGTTCTAGCCGATTAGTCGTGATATCGCAAGTAAATGTGTTTGTTGTGATTTTAAATGATTAAATAATAGGGTTTAATTAATATCACATAATAAAATAAACATAAATTTGTTTAAACTATCGGTATGTATTATTTAAGAAATTGTTATTCGTGTCAAATTTAATTTAAATATTATAATTATGTTATTATTAAATTATATAGTAAATAGAATAAACGTTTTAACAATGATTGTAAAATTAAATTAATTTAATTTAAATTGAACGGTTTTCAAAAACTATAGATTTTAGTTGATTTAAACGTTGTTCTGGTTTATGGTTATCCTCATTGCAATATAATAATTAACTATAAATGTATAATAATATTATATACAATATAATAATTAATTATTGTTAATGTCAGATGCGATTTAAAATCTGTTACAATACGGATCGAAAATTTTTAATATTTCTTTGGAACTAAATAAAAATAAAATCGCATACAGTAGTATAATATTTACGAATATAAAACCATAAAAAAAAAAAAAATATTAATTTTTTTAAATACAGGTTATTTTCAATATTATAATTTAATAAAAAATGTTAACTTTAATATTATTTACAATAAAATGAAATTATAAGCAAATTTACCTTCAAATCAACCCTCTAATATAATATTATTGTGTATATTCTTAGTGATTAAACAGACGTCCATTTATTTAAACATTAATAATTCTAGTTTTGATTAAATTATGTCATGAAAAATTTTTTATTAGTAAATTTTAAAAAAATGCTTTACATTTTTTTTTTTGTATCATCAGTTTTTAGGAAAATAAATTTTATTTTTTTAACACATCGACAAAAATAATTTTCACTGAAAAAATACGAAGTACAATATACATTACAAATAACTTATTAAGCATAAATACGTAAATAATATATACTTATATTATATTGAGTCACTCATTTTTCAGGTAAAGTTTATAATGTTAATTTTCTTTTTATAAATTTAAATTTAATTCTTAAAAACCTTTTTAGTGCGTGCATGTATGCGTTTTTTATGCGAACCTTGTTTCTTCTGAAACTTTTGCAAAAGTCAAGTAGGGTCCGGTAAATGGTCCATAAAAAAAAATAAAAAATCAGACCATTGTTTTTTACGGAACCTTAATAATTTTTTGAGTGCTTTAAATATGTTTATAGTTCTTTACATCCTTTAATATACACTCTTATGGTGTATAACCTTATTGGTTATAGTTTTTTTTTTATTTTTACTACGCACAAAACGATACGTTTGATTACTAAAATAAAACAAATATTTCCTTTATGGATGCGTATTCTGATGTAGATAATATAACGTACATGTTATTTTTTAAAGTCCTGTAGAATTAAGGATTTATACACGGATATCGATAAGTTTTAATTTCAACGCGATCGACATACCATAAATGGGATAAATTTGTTACGAATAAAATGGGATTATATGTTTTGTGAAAAACATCATTATAATATGTGTATTCCGGTAAAAACTTTATGTTGGTTCTTAAATGCTTTTTGAATATGGTAATTGTAAATTTGTAACTTTTACAATTATATTGTTGTAAAAGAAAAAATATTTATTTTTTGACGTATTGCATTCGTTTTATTGGAAAATACAGGGCATATATGTTTTATAAGCAACTTTGATATAGAGTTCGTGAGATTATATGGATGTTTGCTTTTCTATTACATTTGTCTAAACTTAAAAATCGACGTATGAAAAAAAAAACTATTGGTTTTTCTGTATTCAATATTTATGTAAGGTTTTTTTCTGATAAATATTCTGCTCAAAGACCTATAAATATAGGTTATTATTGTTATTTGAAAGAAAAGAAACGAAAATTTAAACAAAGCTATACGAAAATAAATACAATTTTTGAATATAATTCGTATATAATATAATACATTATGCAAACCTGTATGTATAAATATATAAGTACATAGAATTATTTACATAAGAATACAAACTTTTTAAACATTTATATATTGTATTAAATTTGTTAGGGAATCACAAAAACAATTTTAGCATTGACTATATCTGAATAGTACATACAATGGTAAAATTGTTACATTTGTTTTTTTTAAATCGACGATATTGGACTAAAATTAAATGTATATATATTATATATTGCACACCGACGATATAAATTATAATCAGAAATGAAATATTTACGTTAACTTTGATAAATCCTGTAAATGTTTATATTTCCGGTAACGTAGCTATAAGTATACCCTTAAAAACATCTCTTCTTCCTTTTTCATAAATTTATGTTTTCATAAATGACTACAATATGTAAATATTGTTATTTTGGCAAACTATAACATGCATGAAAATAATTAATCCAATTATGATTTTAGATTAATTTAAACTTTAAATAGTATGTTAGTTTGATACTCTTTTCAAGATATTACGAGTATAACTTATGAGTAAGAATAGCAAAATAATAACAAAAGTCAAATTACTTTGACAGAAACATTTTTTAGTGTGAAAATAAACTAATTTATAGTAATTAAAAGGTTAATAATAATATACAAGGCGTTCAAGGCAATTTTATATGAAAATTAGAAAATCCAATATATGACTGTTATGAATTTAAATACATACCAACAGAAGTATGTATTATCTTTAGTTACAAATCTAAATTCTATATTAACTATTTAGTTATTATGTATTTATATTTTAGTAGTAAAGATGTTTAATTATAAATGTCATTTTAAAATTTTTTGGTAAAATATTATATTAATCTCATTAAATACATTATTTCGATCGTGTAAATGAAGTATTTATTAGGTTGTATATTATTGTGTTTAGTTCATTTAAAACACAATAAACGTCACAATACGGAGGTATACCACTAAGCTTTTAAAATAGCTCGTAACATTCTTAAAAATCTATACTCTAATTTTAGAAACATGTGTATTGACAGATAGGTTATTTATCGAAGATCACTTGATGGTCAATGCTAAAAAAGTTAATAATGATAATTATTTTTAACTAGATCTAAACAGTTGAGACGAATAGACATTTTGGTCAACCAGTTAAATTAACATTAGTTTAGTATCAAAAAATTGTATTTTTAAATACCTTGTTGCATTTTTTTATTTTATTGTAAAACAATAAACTTTGATAATGTACCTGTACAGTATATGTATATACTATTATCATATATTTATTTCTTTTTTTAATTTATCGTTTTAATAGCATTACTATATTCATTATATTAAGTAAAATTTTTCTTTCAGCAATGTAAATTTAAATTTAAATTATTTATTGAAAAAATTAATAAAGTATTGCGTCACTTTAAGTTGAGATAAGGAAAAAAGAAAGTTAAAATTAAGTAAAATAAAAAAAAAAATCAAATTGGTACATTAACTAATAAGGTATAATTAATTTAACTTTTATTCATTAACTTGTTAATTCAGGCCTCAAAAATGAGTACACATTATAATTATCAGACTTTTATTTTAAAATAATTAAAGATTTTCTAATCATATATTAAATTACTCACCAGATATTGATCATCCATGCAGTCAATGTGCGGTCCTATGATAGTAAAGTATTTCATGCCTTGCGGAGGCGACGCGTACGGTATGTCGAGTGTGACCTGAGGAAAAGACACATTACTCGATTAGGGAGAGTAACAAATAAATATATCTCTCCAATACATTTTAGGTTTCTTTTTTTTTCATTGCAGCTTACAAAAATCACCCACAAATATCGTTTATGTTAAATGAGAAGAATCATCAAATGCAACTAATTTATGATACATAAGCAGCAATGAAAAAAAAAAGAATTAATTGACAAAATATACAATTTTAGGTATAGTATATAAATTATAAACGCAGTGCGTTTTATACAGTATTCACATGTACTTGACGTTTACCTTGATATAGTATCTAACATATCCGGGTTTGCTCTCGAATGAACACGGCAGCGAGCTTTGAGGAAGTTGAAACTTGAACGGGAAGTGGTGAATTCCACGCGGTAGAATTGGAGCGGGACCGTCTTGCCGGTCTACTAGAATACATTTTTTTTTTTAAATTTCTTTAGCAAAGAATTATTTTTATAACACTCTTCATATATTATATTTTATATACGTTCGATGCGAGTACTCCAAGTACAATATTTGAAATATTGCTTCCCAAAAGTATTTAATACTTTTATAGTATACATAGTTTATAGAATTAAATATTTATTTTATTTTAATGTTATAAACCATAAATAATCATAGTTAGATAAACAAATATTAGAAAACCTGAAACTCTGAGTAATGTATTTCACTTTTGGTTAAAATTTCAAATTTTTTGGAGAAAATTTTAATGTTTTATAACAAAATATACTTTAAAATTACTTTGAATATGTTTACAGTATTGCAAATACATTATTCGAACGCATAATGGGAATATTATTTTTTGTATATTATATTTGAACAATTAATCCAAATACTTAAGAAAAATATTTCACTCAAATCTGTTTATATATTTTAGACACGTATTTACAAACCTTTTCCGAAGATTAGTGATCGATTGTCGATGAAGTATTGATCGTCTTTTATTGCTGAACGATCACCGCTGACCAACACTTGCCATTCCGCATGAGCTTTGCCCCTGAGGACGATTCTAACTGCTATAAACGACAAAAAAAGCTGGTAATAGTATAGCTGGTAATACTTTTAAATCCGTACCACCGTACCCCAACAAATAAATCATTTTCAACGTTTTTTATACATTCTAGTATATAGGCTCCAATATTAGGTCATCCAATTAACCTAAGTTAAGTCGATTTTATTTTTTTTTTTTTTTTAGATTTCATTTGTTATCTCCGCTGAACAGGTCACTATAACTAATTTCTTATACGAAAAAACTAATTTGGAAATTATAGTGTATCAACCTGCCTATTTAAGCGGACTTGCAGTATCCTGAACAAGTATGATGTGATTTTAGGTGAAATAATTTATACTATTTCCTCTTGTGTGGACACTGCACATTATATATTATTATACATTAAATATCACACATCATATATTTTATATTATACGATATATTTGTTTATAATTATATAAATGCGTACACTGCACGTTTTTATAGCATTCGAGATAGAAAATAGTTGTTACATATATTTTTATCTCAGTGAATATACTACTATATTATATATGTTGTTGTCATTTCTGCGTAGGTAATACAGAAAACGTTTGCAGTATAATATTATGTTATTTACGTCTATAATACAGAAAACGTACCTATATATACTAACAATGTGTTATCTGCAGAACACATTTTATTTTTTCTCCTGTTCATTTCAAACGACATCGCCAGATTATCGAATTTTCTATAGTTTATTGTTATCGCATAAACATATGAATATAATATTATTATAGGAATAGTTATTCATTAAAGCCTAAGAATTTTTATATACTGTTACAATGTTTTTTTATTTATCAAAATTATATTATACTACATGCTCACATGTTTGAAAAATATTCAAGTTACAGCGGCAAACTAGGTTTGTTGTTTGGGAAATTAATTTAATTAAAATTTTGAAAACTGTCTATCATCAAAGTTACCATATTTTCTACGTAGTAATACGATTACATAATGAAACCAAAAAGTTTAAAAAAAAGTTAGTTTACAATATTAAGGTATCGTATAAACAGGATGAGTTGCGTTATTCATTTAAAAACTTTTGTGTGGATACATTTTGTTTAATGATTGAGAAGAGATATAACTATACAAGGGAATCAGATAAAATGTTTCCTATGCAATAAAGTTACGCGAGTGCATGGGATTTTAGTTTACGTAAGGTAGTTGAGAGAAACTTTTGACGATATCGTGTTCATTAATAATTTTACTGCGAACAGAATATTATTTTAATTATACTTAAATTAGAGGTGCATACTAACGGATTTATTTTTAAATTAATATTATAGATAGATAGATATACAGTAGACGCCGCTTATAAGACTTACGGATATAAGGTTCAGTCGCTTATTAGACTCAAAATCGTCTGGAACGATCCGGACGTATCCAAATACATTAAAAAAAAAAATCGGTTATAAGACTCAACACTTCGGTTATAAGACTCAAATTTCGTAAATCGGGATTATAAAATGTATTCAATAATAAAGTATGTAATATGTAATATGTGTTAATGTATTAAAATCAAAGCAAAATATGTAGTAAAATAAAATTTATAAATACGTAATTATTTTTTTTTTCCACTTCGCCTATAAGACTCATTCGGTTATAAGACTCACTTTGTGCTGGTCCCAAAGTGAGTCTTATAAACGGCGTCTACTGTATAAGGTCATCATCGTTTGCAATACCTAAAGAAAAACACGACGATTATATTATTCTACAAAAATTATTATACACATGATGAGGCAAGTTGTTATTTTGCGTAAAGTATTGCCAGTATTAGATATATATATTGATTTGCATAGAATAAAAATACTTATGCATATTGCATTATGCTTACTGAGGTATCATTACGTCTTATTAAGACGTCATAGGACGGTTTTAATATAACAAATAAATACTAAAATATAATTCAATCGCAATTCACATTATTGACTGATTAATTTAACTATAAATTGTGCAAATTATGATTGACACAATTTTTCATCTGAAAATTAAATCATTTAAATAGGTACTGATTTTATACATTTTTCATATATATACATACATAAACATTCTAAAAATAATATTTTAAAATATCTAGATTTATATGCCATTTAAGGAGAGTCCTAGCTAGCTGTGTCTACACAATATTCTTTTTTTTGGTGAGTACGATCCTTTTAAGACCCATATATTTTTGGGTTGGTTAAAACTATATTTTTCTGGCCAATTTACCATTACAGAAGGTACTTTCCATTCAAACTTTAAAGTATAATATAATTATGTTACTTTAGAAATATTGTTGATAAAACTTAATTTTTAAATCATATGATTAAATTTTACTTATTCAAATTTTGTTTACATTATAGTAGTTATATTATAATGACTATATTATGATTGACGAAAAAACATTACTTAATATAATTATCTTTGATAGGTACATAGAGTTTAATAACTCGAAACAATCTTAAAATTTAAAAAAAATAAATAATATTCTTAACTGTTCGTGAGTCAAAAAAATCCACCGCTTTAAATTGAAAGAGTTAAAAATCTAAAATTTGTACAATAATTCTGTCTTCCCTATTATTGTTTTTTATTGTTATATAATATTATTTGCATACTGATACTTTATTGGTTTTTGATTATTATTATCGTATTATGTTTAATTTGTATTTTATATTTTTATATTTTTTAATGTAATTAATGCCGCCTTTATTATCATTTATTATTATTGTCGTTCAAAAATGATTAAATATTATGTTTTTCTACTTCAAGAATCGATTTTTGTTTTTTTTTTTTTGTTCAGCAATGCGACAAAGTTGAGTATTATTCTTTCAACTAAGATTATATTTGTAGTGAATTTCTACGCAATTATTATTTGAACATTTTGATTATTATTTACAAATTGTTGAAATGTTTAATATTATTTGTCGCTAACAACAAGTCTGTAAGGTTTATTTTCCACCATTTATGTGTGTGATTTATTCTACTTTTTTACACGGTGAAACAATTTATAATCATCATCACTGAGACACACTAAAATTTTAGTAATCACTTTGGGCATGTGCGTAAGAAGAAAATATTTTCGAAGGGGGGTTTTGGTCTAGATATTTATTAATAAATATTATAAAACATTAAGATTAAACATGAATTATTTGAACATCCAACCCTCCCCCTTACCTACACCTATTACTTTGGTTGATCTTTCGTCACCAAGATTGGAATTGGTGTCCGTATTGTCGTTACGTAAGTCTTCCAGTATCTATTATGGTGTATAAGAAGCTGCCCATGTCTTAAAATTGCATCATAATTCATCTTCACCGTCATATTTATTAGGAGTTATTTTTAAGTATTTGTCCAATCACACGAAAGCTCTGTTAATTATTGCATCAGATTGATCCAATCAACAGAGTATCTCCCCCCCCCCCCCCAACCAAACCCCTAGTTCTATATTATATTCTTAGGTATATAAACTTTCTTCGATCCTGTTCGTTATTTTTGTATTGTCCAGGTGCTAACTAAAATTTAAATTAACCAAATTTAGTTCTTGAAGTGAAAACGAAGTGGTCTTTCAACTGCTATGTATGCATTTATTAACAGTTCAAAATAATTAAAGAAATACTCATTTGAAAACAAGAAGTTTATAACACTCCTTAAATTATTTTAAAAGTATAAATATCTAAAATTATAGTCTTAATAAGTATATGAAAAATCTCATACATCAAAATTTGAATAAAATATGCATTATTAAAAGATATAAGGGGATGTATGCTAAGTAAATCTTTCTATAAATAACTTAACAATAATCAGTATTCTGCACATTAAAATATTATTTAGTATTCTTTACTAACAATCGCTTAAAGCTGAATTCAATTAACATAGTAAAATTATTTAGCAATTTTATAATCTGTACGATTTATAAAAGACAAATGTATTATTACAAAATAATAATTATAAAATAATATTTTTTAAAGATATATATTTTATATAAGTATTTTTATATTATACAAATAAGTAAATAACACGAATTTATCGAAAAATAATTTTAAATTGTACACGTCATTTAAATTTATTTTTGAAACATAGAAATTAAACCAATATAGATTATTGCAAACTCATCACTATAGTCTATAATGAAGTAGTATGCACTTAAATGGTGTAAATATTTGATTTTATAGGTTTTTAAGTTATTATTCCATTTATTAATTTATACATAATAATAGGTATCTAAAATATTATTGTATTTATGAAATTTTGTAGAGTTACATAATACGTATTTTTAAAACTTTTTTGAAACACGGGTTTTAAATTTTTAATGCCAAACACAATTGTTTTCTTTTTCTTTGTATTCTTAATCAATAAATTTATTTTCTTTAGGTACTCAGACTATATAACAAAAATAAGCGAATTAAAAATTAAAAAATCGCATTTATCGTTACTAAAACTTTTTACATATTATTTAAAAGAAAAAAAGTCCTGATTAAAAATGTGATGAATCAATTAACCTAATTTTTTTTTAGAGATGGTTTATTTGACTTACTGAAAATCTTTGAAATCTTAATTATTTTAATACTCGTGGAAATTCTTGGATATAACGGAATTTTCTTGTCTTAATTAATGCCATTGGCTGAATGTAGAATTAAGCATGTTAAATATTTTGAAATAAGTGTCTAATTTTTATATTATTCAGTATTTTAACTAGCTTGAAATTCTAAAAAAATAATAGTTATTATTAAACATATAAATTCGTAAATCTCAATAAATATAAATACGATGAATTTTCATTAATATTCCTTGAGTTAATATACTAAATGCAAATAATATATTTTGGTATCTTATAATCTAATCTATAATAATATTTATTATACTGGTTAATCGAGAAACACATATTTAGTTATGGTGTTGGATTATTTATGTGTGAAGTTTTCGATAAGCGTATATGTATGATGTATCGATATAATTCTATACATTTTGAGTTATTGAGATAGGTATTTTCATAATATGTAATACCGT